TTGAGACTCTTGAGCGCGTCCAGAGGAGGCAACGAGGCTGGTGAGGGGAACACAAACCCTGTGAGGAATGACTGAGGGAGCTGGGGTTGTTTAAAATGGAGAAAAGGAGACTCAGAGGTGACCTTATCACTCTCTACAACTTCCTAAAAGTAGTCAGGTGTGGTTTGGTCTCCTTCTCCAGGCAGCAACTGACAGAATGAGAAGACACAGTCTTAAGTTGCACCAAGGGAAATATAGGTTGGATATTAGGAAAAAGTTTTTTATGGAAAGAGTGATAATGAAATGGAATTATCTTCCTGGGGAGGTGGTGGAGTCACCATCCCTGGATGTGTTTAAAAAAGCACTGGATATGGCTCTCAGTGCCATGGTTTAGTTGAGATGTTAGGGCATGGGCTGGACTCGATGATATTGAAAGGCTCTTCCAACCTAGTGATTCTGTGTGAACAGGGGAGATGAGAGATCTATAGTTTACATGTCAGAGGTGAGTGAATTCTCAGAAGCCTTTGGTACCTTCCCAAGGACCTGCTTGTTATGGTTTCCCCTAATAAGAGGTGGGGCGTTTGGAGGATGGCTTGCTCACAGAGTTGAGCAGTAACATTTTTGTTGTGATGGCTTTCAGGACTGATTCTTGTGGGTCTGAAAAGAACTGCACACTTTGCATCATCCCTTTGTGAATGTTAAATAATATGGAGTTTGTATTTACTGTCCTTGTGTATAAAGAGGTCCAGCAAAAAATACCCAGAGCTCCTTGCAGTATTCCTGTTTGATTAACTGTTTTCGAGTGAGTCGTGGAGACAAGCAAGTGTTCAGCAAGTGCCACTTGATTTAGATGTGACAACTCTTTGTAGAATGAATTGGTTCTACCACCTTCACTGATACTGTAATCAGTGCATTTTCTGTCTGGCTTACTTGTATCAGTGCCTCAGCTCTTCACTTCACCCCCTGCATTCAGCATGGGCTTGGTGGGAGAGGCAGTGAAGACATCCTGGTGGCTGTGGTGTGAGGTTTCACAGCATGGCTGTTGACTTGAAGCATCAGTGGTTTCACCTTAAGTTCACACGAGAACAGTAGTGGCTGAGCAGCCCATAGCAGACACATTCCCTTCTCCTGATCCTACTGTGGGAGAACAACCTCTTGCAGAAAGGCAACACCTCAAATTCTGCAGGTCCACTCCATTTAGGCTCCTTTCCCAATGTGATAAGACCACCAGACAGCACAACTAAGGTGGTAAATAAGTAAAGCTTATGACATGATTCTGGGAAATCACCTTGGTCTCTGTATATATCTTGTACTTTATGAATATGTCATACTTGATTAAAGCATATATCATTGTCCAGTTTCTGCTTGGTATTTCTAAATTACAAAGTGATTTGTACAGAATGTCCCCAAGCAGTGCAATGATTATTGCTAGATCGGAACAGTGGTCGTCCTTAATTATACCATTGATTAGCTGCCAGTTCACTAGTCCTTAGCAAGCAGAAATTAAAAATGTAGCTGGCAAAAGAACCTGAAATGCTGAACAAATGAAAATTACATACATAATGCATCCAAATCCCTTGGAAGGACTACTTGGAGGGAGGAGAAATGTGCTATATTTCTACTGCATCAATAATACTCAGTATGGTCTAAAGGTTTCTTGCCCTGCATAAGTAACAGCTGAAATGCTGAGTACACTTTTTTTGTTATTGTTGTTTTGTTTCTTGTTCAATTGTATGAACTTAAGTATCCATGGGTTGCAATATGGTAAACATGCTGCAGTGGCAATTTCTAGATCTGGTTTTTAACCTAGAAATTTAAGCCAGTGATGCAGTATTTAAGGCAAACCACTTTCTTTGCCTTTTTCTTCCTCTCCCATCTCCTGTCTGCCTCTAAACATTGTTCAGGTCAGGGAATGCCCTTGTTATAATTCTCAACTATTTCAAGCAGGGAGAAAATTTCAACCGTGTAATGCTTCAATAAAACTATTAAAAAATATGGACTCAGTGAAAATATACTGAGCATCATTAAATTGCTCTGAGTTTTAAAAGTTTGGATTCTTTCATGATGCTGACACCTTGGTTGAAAAGTTCAGACTAATGAATTATCTTTCCAGTATGTTAATTTTAAATAAATTAACAAAGACTTCAGAGCAATGTACTCATTAATGCAGTTGATGTTGTTTCTGCTTCAAAGTCAGCATTGTGTTTTACTTAGCTGAATTCACAAAAAAACCTTGTGAGTGGTATGATCTTAGTTTTTCAGGCATTAATGTAAGCTTTCAGAAATTTAGTGTTGAATATATGTGATAAAAATATCTTTTCTAACTGGGAATTCTGTAAGTGATTAAAAATCTTCTTTTGAACAAAAAGCTCTTTATAGCCCTGATGGATGTATTGGTGTAAAATACAGTTTTCTTCCTTATTAGAAGATTAGAATGGATGGACTATGTTTTGTTAAAACATGATTGATTTCTCACTTTGAGACTGGTAGAAATATTAGCAGTTCTTCTAATGGTGTGATAATGTCCCTGCATTCTGACAACATTTCTGATGCCAGACTTAATGCTTTTAGTATTGAATTCCAAATTGCAAGGAAATATCGAAGCTTTTTGAGATGTGGAGGAATAACAGCCTGTGTTCTCCTAACAGAACATAGGAGGCAGTGTTGGATCATGAAGAATGTGCCTTAGCACCTCAGTATCCTTTTGCAGGAGCTGTTAGTTTAGGCTTTAATAGAAACTGTTTCAAGGTAGGCAGTTCCACACCAGAGGATGTGGAAAATGAGGCCTTTGATGACGATTCTTTTTTTTTCTGGAGATTTTACTCTTCCACATTTTTCCTAGCAATTTACAGTGCAGTACAAGATTCTCTTTTGAGTGGTGCATGAATTTTTCTATTTCTTTTAGGCCTCAAAGTTCCAGCAAGGTTTAATATTCAAGGAATAAAGATACGGTTCAAAGGCTGTTAAAAGCTTCTCATTTTTTTTAATAAGATTTTAAAATAAACCATGCAATAATAGCAGGGAGGTATCAGGTACAGAATAAATTTTCAATTCTCATCATATTCATAATAGTTCCTAATTATCTCAGTGATTTGCAGATGAGTTCATGGCTTTCTTAGCAGGGTAGGTACTGGAGAAACTTGCCAGCCTTATTAAATTGCTTTTCTCAGTGTTGAAAACTGACCTGCATAATGACTTTGTGTAGCCTGTCCTGTGGTCAAGTATTTGCATTTGGAATTTGATATAGAGCTGCCACATATAAAAACATCTTGATCCTTCTGGTCTTGGCTTCTAAGTGTAACTCTGTAAAAAAGCTGTTGACCATATCACAGCAGAGGAGTTTGATCCCTTCACCAATAGTATTCAAAATGACAGAGGCCTCAGAAAATACAGCCCAGGCATGTCTCAGTTTGGGGTTCCTGAAAACTTCCTGATTATTCTTTCCAATACATCCAAAACTGAATAGGATGTGGGCTGAAGACACCCCACTTAGCATTGTGCCTCTAGAGATCAAAAGCCCATCTGTAATACATGAGTTCAGATGGGTCTCAGCAGTAAATGCTATGAGCTGATAAAAAACCATAAAACTGCAACCTCAAGTTGTCCAAAATTTACTCCCCGAACAAAGGTGGCCTTTTTTCAATGAAAACTCATGATAATATTAAGAAGGAAAACCAGATTACAAAAACATGAGTTTGTCTTGTGCTGTGTTCACCTATTTTTTTTCCTTATTTAGACTCAGCCCTGTGTCATTAAGACCCAAAAAAAAAAGCCCTTACTGTGTTTTGCAGTATTTTTACCTGTTTGCTTGATTTGGCAGCAATACCTGCACAGTCTGTGGGGCTTGGGATAGCACCCAAGGATTTAATTTTCTGACTTACAAGGAAAGAGGAACCATCTTTCCCCACATAGCTCTTACCCAAAATATTTGAATGTTGAGTTAGGGAATAATTTTGATTATAAGGTTGGGTTTTTTTGACTCCTGGAAAAGACTGTTATTGGAATAAAGCAAATTGCAGGTACCCCAGTCTCAGATATGGAGTCTGTGAGAGGTAATACAGGTCCTTGTGTGCAGGCACTGTAAAAATCCATGGGCTGGACTTAATCTGCCTCTGTAGACAGAGTTTATTATTGGCTTTGTGTGTGTGGGGGATATTTTCTTCAGCTTGGTAGGCATGTACTCTAGTAAGGGAGGAATTCTGAGTCTAGCAAAACTGTGAGTTCTTATGGGTTTGTTTCTGTTGCCTTGACAGATCTTAAATTGTGGGGAATCTAAACTGTAGTTGAAGGCTTACAGATATATATATGATGTGTTTGATCACTGTGCTTTTGGAAAGCCTGCCTGTATTGCCCTACTTTTCTGTGTGTTGTGGGTATTAAAGTCTAAACTAGAATGTGTGAAATTTATTTCTGCTGGCAGCATACAGAATGAACTCTTACAATAGCTCTTCAAACCAAAGGCTGGGCAGCCATGTCTTACAAATACAATGTTTATGTGAGACTTTTGGGTTGCTGAATGAAGTTCACTGCCAAAAGGAGATCCTATAAATATTGCATTTAGGACTATTGCTCAGCAGTGACCCTTAACACAGTTCTGTGCTTCCAAGTAGTTTGTTGCCAATAAAGTCAGGGAGTGAAATTGGAAGAAAAACACATGTTCTTCCGTGAATACCTTTTGAAAATTACAGAATCTATTGCAAGGTTTGCTGTAAAAATGACAAAAAGGTACATGGAACTTGACTTGGTTTATAACTGCCTCCATTCTTGGTAGCTCCTGAAAGGAGACCGACAGAGGCAGCTCCTCACAAGGGACAAAACCTTGACATCTGCTTGTAGTTGTGGAAATAGTTCTGTTTATTCCCACTCTCAAGAGATTTGTAACAGTATTTCTTAAGGCTCTTAATTTAGACAGATACCATGCTATGGAATCAGGAGTGCTGAGCAGCAGTGCTGTTTTGCATCCTTTATTCATGGAAATGAACTGCTGTAAGGCATGATGATGTGTCTCTGTTGTGTGGTTTGGGAAGTTAAACATTAAAAGTACTTGGGAAAACATGCTGCAGTGAAACTGGATTAGATTGCTCAAGTTTATTGGGTTTTTTGAGAATTCAGTTATGCCATCATAACAATACAAAGGAATGGAGCAGCACTGTTGATTCAAACAGAAATAAATCAACAGTGAATAAACACTGACGTTTTGGACACATCCCTTTCTGGATTTAAGTGCTTCCAAATTGCTCTAGAATAAAAGAGGTGATGATTCTGTTTTTTCCCCAGGATAATTGTCAAAAGGAGAGTTGTTATGTATTGCATTTACTTCCTTTGTGCATATTTGAAATAATTTAACAGTAGTTCTTGTGTTTCACAGTTTAGGGTTATTTTTCTCACTATGGCTAAAATTTTACATGTAAAGCAGATTTTGAAGTCTGTGCCTTACTTTTCCAGATTTATTCACTGTACTGATGATTCCCCTGATCCTTCCTTGAACTATGAGGTAGGACTCCTTGCATGATTTCTAAGTAATTTAAAAGAATTGCTCACAGGCTGGGTGACATTTGTGGTTGGGTTTCTGTCCATTAAATGTGTTATGTTTGTTTTATTCATGTTGCTTTCGATATGAAGGGAAGTCTGGTTCAGCACTGCAGGTCATAAGAAGTTCATTTAATTGCAGATCAGGTGGGCTAAAGTGCAGACTCGAGAAGCTTCCTTGCATTGTCCTCTCATGTCTGTCAGGTTGTGACAGGAAGGACAAGTTCACTAGCTCAAAGTCATACATTCTTGATGGTGAGCCTCTTGTGAACATCACACTGAGGTTACCAAGGGTGAGGCTTGTTCCAGTGGCTGGGGACATCCTGAACTGCTCTGTCACATCTTGTTTCCTATGTTTGTTACCAGATCAAAATGCTCAGCTATAGATGCTTTAAACTGTTAATATGAAGCTACTGCTCTTATGGTAACATCTAGTCATCTCTCTAATAATAGTTTTAATGTAAATATAACATTTGTCATCATGCTGTGGGCTTAAAGGGCTTTTTGAAAGTGAATGAACCCTGTTTTATTTTAAAGCACTATCAAGTGTGATTTAAAGGAACAGGACATCTAAAAGTTGGAACAAAATGTTTAATGTTAACACTGTAATTAGGAATGTCATCTCTGGTTACTGGAGCTTTCTGCTGCTCTTTAGAGGGTTTAGGAGTTTCCAGCATCCAGTAGCAGTAACTGGGGCCTTCAAAAACATGGGTCCTTCAGAATATTTCAGCTTAGGAAATACAGAAACTTGAGAAAGTGCCAGAGAGATGCTTTAATTCCCAGGCAGTCTGTCCTATTGACTATAATAGTTTGCTTTCTATTTCTATCTTGTGTCCTTATTTTAACTGGTTTGCGCCTTCAAAGGCGTCACAGAATTCTGCTTGGGTGTCTACCAGAATAGAGGTTGATTTGGATAAATTTAATTCTGCTCATCAGCTCCTTTGACTAGGGAGCAACTTTCTGCCAATTCCATGACAGATTTGTTGTGCTGTACAGCAGGGTTTATATTTTCCATGCTTTATCATTATTGTAACTTGGAAGTGTTTCATAAATGATTTCACAGTCATAAATACTGTACAAAGTGGAAGAGCATAAGATAATTAAGGTGGGAAGGGACCTCAGGAGGTGTCTAGTCTATCTTCATGCTCAAAGCTAGGTAAGGAATGAGATCATAGTGTCTTGCTTGGCATTTTATAAAATCTGGTCTGAAAACCTCAGTGGGTGGAGGCTGCACAGCCTCTGTGAGGGAGCTCTTCCAGTGCTTGACAGTCCTCATGGTTTCTTATGTCCAATCTGAACCTTTCTGCTTTAAGCTGATTTAGACTATATGGTCTTTATAGATGCCATCCAACTGAAAGCATTCTGTGATTCTCTGAAACTAATATTAAATCTAATTGTTTTGAAATATTTGCAAAGATAATTATGTGAACTGCAGATTTAAGATTGTTTTTATTTCTAGTATCACTGGTCATTTTATCATTACAGCAAAACTGTAGCTCTAAAAGGCAGACCAAAAGGTTGACAAAGAATGCTGTTACTTTTCTGAAACAATATTTTGCCATTTGTTTTTCCTCCACAGCTTGTTCTTCGCAAATGGTGTGAATTAATCCCTGGTGCAGAATTCAGATGCTTTGTCAAGGAAAACAAGCTTTTAGGTAAGGACTTTCTTAAAAACAAAATTATTGGATGAAGTTTTGAGGAATTTCTCTGATTCCTTGAATAAGAATTAAGTCTGAAGAGAGTTCTTTCTTTCCACACCTCATTTGTGAAATTAATGGTTTCTTCTTTCTGTAATTTAAAATGTGGTTTACCACATCTCACTTTCCACTGTATTTGAAAGCCTGACAGCAGAGCATGCTTGCCATTACAGTGGGAAAATTCTTAATTTAATTATTTATTCAGAAGCTTCACCCAAAGGCAGTTTTATGGGTGAGTTTTTTATATTCAGGAGCAAATTGCATCATCCCCAACTTGCAGAATGAATACAGAGGCAGTTGTGTGTTGTGCTGCAAATACCTGACCCCATGTGGATATTATATGCAGAAAGCTGGAGAGGTCAAAACATCTCCACAGGTGTAGGAGGTGTCTTGAGTTCATAATAAATTCAGTGTAGCTTAGTTAGAATCCGTTGTTCTGTTACTCAGGTGCAGAATCCTAAATGTAAAATGTTTCAAGTGGCACTGAAGAGCCAGGGTATCCATCCACAGCATGCACAGAGCTGGTGGGTGCATTGAGAGACCTCTGGCAGCTGGAGAACAGGCAGATTGTGCTAGAGCATGTGTTGTAGGCAGCTGAGTAGGGTAAATTTAGGGTAATTTAGGGTAAATTTAGCTCAGTTTCACTCCTCTGGTTGTGTTGACTATTCTCTGCTGACTATAGCAGGAAATGAGATACCCAGTGCATATACAGGTGCTTGAATTGAGGGGTTTAATTTCAGGCTAATTACTACTCTGAAGTTTGATTTTGGTGTGGTCTACCATGAAATCTTTAGAGATGAACAGAAACTCAAATAGCACAGGATTAGTGCACATTTGTTCTGAACAAGGTTGAATCATTCTGCCTGAACTCTTCTAACAAGGAAGTGTTACAGCAGTGATGGAGCAAATCCAGACTCCACAGGAAGGAAGGTGATTTTTTTTTTTTTTTTTTTTGCTATAAGACGAAACTGGGTTTATTCACTTTGCCTTTCTCATGCCCACATATTCACAAGCACCAAGCTCCATATCTGCAAGTGGTCTGTCCAGGGTTCCTTGTGACAATATAGAAGGCCAGGGATATTGGCTGTGTAGTTCTCACTGTTTCTCCTGTCTTAGCATGGTGAGTGTGGGCTTGTTTTGGCTGTGCCTTTCTGTACCTGTTGGGAACTTTCTGTTGCTCCATCCAGCCCCACCTGTGTGAACCTTTAGGAGCACACTCCCTGTTCTTCTTTGCCCGATTTGGGTTTCCTGTGGAGCTGCACACAAGATATTTGAGCTGTGCTAATCCAGGTGCTGTCAACACACACCATTCTCCTAAGTCCTTTTATTTGGCTGTTTCTTCTGTGTTCTCATGCTCATCTTCCCATTTTCTCTCCATTTATGCCAGTTGCAAGTGTATTACAGCCCTCTGTAACAGAGTTTATCTTCTTAATAGCAGAGATTTCCCATTAAGTCTGTGTTCCTTAATGGCTCCTGACAGAGCTTTTTGAAGGGAGGAAAGCTGAATCCTGTCCTGCTTTGTGATGCTGGAATACCACAACTGCCAGAGATACACATTACTCTAATAACCTCTAAAACATTTGAATGTAGATTTATTATAGAATATATATATAGTAATATTGAACTTCAAGTACCTCAAAGCATTTGTACACTGGCTAATTAAGCACTCTGTGCATTTCATGACCAGGTTTTGAAACCTAGTAGATTTGCCAGTATGGAATTTTTTTTTTTATCTAGCACTCCAGCTGCATTTCTGAAGATAGTTCCAAGATTTTTCACAATATGTTCCATACTCTTAAAATTAATAAGCCTGTCAGTCAAACTAAGAAATGATACTTCCAGTATAGTGAATGATTTTCCAGTTACACATCTGCATCTGCTTAGATGCCATTGTCTTTTGTTTTTTAGACTCAAGCTTTGCTGTAGTGTTATAAATTCAATGTTCCACTGACATCATAAACTTTTTATATGAACTTTTTTAAAAAGAGCACATCTTTGGCAGTTGTCAGCATTGTCTTACAGTAAGTCTGTGTTTTGTATACGGTTAAAAAAGCAAACTGACCTGATACATCTTCCTGGGGAATTCTGTCTCTTTTTGTATGTAAATAGACTGAATTACTCATTCTACAGTGAATGGGGCAGGTCTTGGGTTGACATTTGTCAAGCAGGATATTGCAGTGTTTTATGTTGACACATTCTGTATGAGAACTCTTGTCAGTCAAGATGCATGCAAGTGTATAATCCTGTTGATGTCATTTTAAGCCAGTGGCTTGTAGACAAATGTATGAAATTAAGAACTTGTAGGAGGGATGGTTTGTCTGCTTAGGCAAGAAAGCCCTTGAGGGAGCAAATGGGAGCACTGAGGTACTGGCCTGCATGCCATCCCACTGATTGAGGGGTTTAGGGTTTCAGCTGTAGTGCCTTATCAAATAGGCAGATGTTAGTCCACACTTAAAAATTCAGTTAAGTGAGAATCTGTGATATCCAAGGATCATCTTTGCTAATGTACAAGCTTAACCTCCACCCCGGCATTTCATGGTTGTGACCAAATTGTGGTCCCTATGTGTGAGGTGCAGAACAAGGTTTTTGACCAGAGTAACCAAAGGGAATAAAACTGAAAAGATGGGAGCTAGAAACTTAAACACAGGGAAAGTTTCCTCCTGAAATTCACTTTAAAATAGTCAGAGTGTGTATATATGAAATGAAGTTCACAGAATTTAGGACAGAGCTGTTCAAGGAAGATATTCCTAATGGAAGTACTTTTAAGTATAGCAGAATAAAGCCAAACAGTAAGTCACTAATAATGGTAGAAACTTGGGAAAACCCCATTTTCTGTGTCTGATAACTGCTTTCTTTTCTGGTTGGGTTTTTTTGCATGCCTAGAGCTCTTCATAATTATAATTACCTGAAATTATTGACAGGTATATCACAGAGGGACTACACCCAGTACTACGATCATATCTCCAAGCAACACGAGGAGATCTGTAGATCCATACAAGAGTTTTTCAAGAAACACATTCAGTATAAATTCTTGGATGAAGACTGTAAGTATCTTGAGGGTATCTATGGGTATGCATCTCTCTCTTCATTGCTCTTGCTTTCACAGAGCTTGGTTCTCTTTTAGCTTGGGAGAGTCTGAAAGCTCTTGTGGCTACAGCACGTTGAGCAGCTAAAGTTTGGAATTACATTGGCAACAAAAAAATCCCTGAAGGAATAGGCTGGAGCTCTTCAAGAAAACACAACATATGAGTGAAAGATCCCTTCAGAAGACATAGTAACTTTTTTTTAAAGGCTTTTCCCCCTTAAACTTGAAAATAATTTTTATACCAGAAAAGTGGGGTAGGAAATCCTTGACAAAAGGCATTCAGTAGTGAGAAGAATACTTGTTTTGCTGCTAAATTATTGAGGTATTCCTTGAATAAAGGATTTTTAAGTTTCTTTTAAATAAGTTTTAATGATTTCTAGAATATCAATGCACACCAGGTTAGGTGCCAAAACCTTTGAATAAATGCCACAGTATTTGATACACCTAATCAGTCTCCAAGTAAATTGCCTTGTTCTTTAAATGTGAAGTCCTTTGCAAATTTGATTTGAAATCGTTTTCTAGCATGGTTTAGTGAGAATTGAATGGTGTTGCATTGTGATGGGTGATCAATAGTGGTGAAAAACATGATGAAGAAATTTAAATTAGGTCTGACATGGACCAAACTTCAACTTAGTAAAAGCCATAAACATAAGAATTTTCTAGCAGTTTTACTGCCATCTTTAAAGCTTTGAAAATTCAACCTTTAGGTGGATTTTTAACATTAATAATTGTTTTACTGAGACACCAAAGCTGTCAAATAATTTGTCCCCTCTAACTGTCTGAAAAAGGTGCTTTCAAGTGCCAGTCTCTGTTATATTGAAATTCTTAATAATTTGACTCTGCAAAGCTGGTTTGTTTCAGTCCAGAGAAGTTCTCATGGGCTGCTGCTTGGAGAAGACCAGTAGAATAGTACACCAATTTAATAAGTCCATTACATTTTGAAGTAAGATCAGGCATATAGATCTGGCATTCTGATTACTGCCTTTTAATTTTCCTGTGTTCCAATGTACTTTTAGCTGATATGTAATCAACTGACAGATAAGAATTCAGGGCACTATTTTTGGAAATTGATGCCTAGATTTAGGCTCTGAAACGGCTGAAATGGAAACGGTGAACTGAAAGGTCTGAAATGTCACCTTATGTAAAGGATGCCATCTGAGTTGCCTTGAGGGAAAAGGAGGTTTCAGGGCAACCTTCTGGGATGAAGATTTGTTAACCTTTTATTCTTAGGCACTAAATGCTGGTCCATCTGCAATGAAATGCCATGCAGAAAATGTTTTCTGTGTTTTTGTGGGTGTTTTGGTTTTTTTTTACCACATTGCATTTATCCCCCATCATCTCCCTTGATCCACTGCCTGGTAGCATATGTGTTGTTAACAATAAAAATCTGGGTTTGCTTGTTTGTTTGCTTTTAAAAGGAAAGGTATTACAGCTTTTTTCCTGACTTCTTGTTTCGTTGGGAATTTTGATGCTGTTTGCTCTGCTTTTTCCAGTTGGTCTGGTAGCATCTCCAGATGGAAGAGTTGAGTCAGAGCAGCTGAAGCATTGCAGAGTCAGAACAGTAGGATAACAGATGGGTGAATGCTTTATAAATACTTCTAAATCATGTTAGAACCTTCTAAATACCTTTGATAAGAGCCCAGTAAGAGCAATGCTCTGGAGGTGTTGATAGTGCAGAGCTGGGCTTTGGCTTTCCCTCTGTTTAGAGCAGTTTCTGGTGAAGTTTCACTACAGTCTCACAGGCACAGGACACTCCTGCTCTGAGGTGATCCCTAAGGAGAGGGAACAATTCAGGTTTTGTTCTCGTTCAGTGTTTGTGACTGTCCTGAACCGGTCATCAGAGTGCAATCAGTCTGAATTCCAGCTGTGTGAATCTCAGTGAAGCCAAATAAATACCATTAGCCTCAGTGGCTGCTTTAGGCTGACAGGCCTCACTATAGAAACCTTCAGATGCAAGGGATATCATTGGGATATGACTAAGGATAGGATGTGCAGGCACTAAGTTTAGTTGAACAGCTGGAGAAGAAATCCTGGGGTTCCTGTACCCCCTTTGCACTGATGACTGGCTTAGCCACTGAAGGCTTGTCTTCCTGGGAGAAAGGAGCACTTAATCCTGGAGTGACTTTGACGTTGATGCAACCCAGCTTGTGCAAAAGCTGTGTGGAAGTTTAGGCTGCATGGTAAAAACCAGCTACGTGACTGGCTTTGGCTTTGTGGAGTTGTGGTTTACCCTTAGCCCAGCCAACTGCACATTAAATGTCAGATTAAGCTTTACATGCATGGATGTGATCAGTCAACATCCCTGTTCCTGACAGGCAGCTTCCTGAGACTCAAGTGTTCTGCAGTAATATCCTGAGTTTAGTTTATCCACATGTATTGGGAAATTTCTTAGCTGAAATATTCCCTTATTAGTGAAGGAAGTAACAATATAGCATTTGTCGGGGGCTTTTCTAAATCTATTTTTTCTTTTCCCTTTCTTCCTGATAAACTGGTACAATTTTTGCATGTAGCCGTGCCTGAATTCTTCCCTGTTGATTTCCCTAGGTCAATAGAAAGACAACTCAAAGGTTTGTTTAACCATACAGAACAGAAGCTGATGGAAAGCTGCATGTACAGAGTCGTGTTTAATTAAGCCAAGGGGAGAAACAACAGTGGAGCCAGGCAAAGCAACTTTGAGTCAGTCACTGAGTGGCAAAGGGGCTGTTTGAAGGAGTTAATTAGGTGTGTTGTGTCTGCTCTGTGTGACATCAAACATGGCCATTTCACTGCCACCGACCCCTTTGTTCCTACAACCTGTTTGTCTTGTTAGCTCCTGAAATCCTAATGTCTGTGTAGCAGGAACTTTCTCTTATTAAATGTTTGTGCAATGTCCAACACAATGGATTCTTAATCCTTCCCTGAAACGTCTCTGTTCTGCTGTAAACAAAACAGCAGTAATGTCAAAGATAAGCTCTCTGGGCTAATAGTTTATCAAATATTCTTAATGGGAGAAAAATCAACAGAAGAAACTGGCATTAAATGGGAAAACCCAATAGCTGATTTCCCAGTGCATTAACAGTAGTTCTTGAAATGTTTCAGCTCTCTTACAAGTACACCCAATTCTGACTTGCAGTTCTTTAGACATATTGACTTCGCAGATTGTGCTGTGTACACAAGTGTCTATTCAGATTTAGATATCTTCTGTGAAATTATATATCTTTTACAATTAACTTTTTTTTCTCCTTTTCAGTTGTTTTTGATGTGTACAGAGACAGCAGGGTAAGTGAACAATAGATTGTATATAATTGCTTCTTCTGTGAAAACTTGAAATACTACAAAGATCAAGCAAGTAATATCTTTGTCTTCCTAGAAATGGTCCTGGAAAAAAAACAACCAACCAAACAAAAAAATACCCCCAAAGTAGAAACCCCAACCAAACAAAAAACACCAAGCAAAACCTACTTGATGTTATTATGTTCCACAGGTCTTTTTCTATGCTAAATGCTCTCTACAGTAGGAGAATAATAGGATTAGGGGTGTAAATATGTCTGTGCCAGTGATGTAATTATTTAGTTAATATCTTCCAGAGAAGTTGTCTGTTCTAAAGCACAGCACTTAGGCTTCGACTACAATTTTCACAGTTCTGTGACTCTACAAGAGGCAACTTAGTTTTTGTTATGACATGAAAGTCCTGCTGCAGTAATTTAGAGTAGAATAGACTATTTCAGTTGAAGGGACCTGCAGTGGTCATCAAGTCCTACTGCTTGACTAATTCAGGACTGACCGAAAATTAAAGCCTGTGGTCATGGGTGGTGTTCTCAGGCACATGGTGGGATTCCTGGGGCTGTCCTGTGCAGGGCCAGGAGCTGGACTCAGTGGCCTTGTGGGCCCCTTCCAACTCAGGATATTCTGTGACTCTTTCATTAAGGGCATGGTCCAAATAGCTTTCAAACACACAAACAAGTTTGACATTTTCTTTTAAGGCAGGTATTTCCTTGGGCTTCATTTCTTTTTCCACGTGTGTGTTTTTTCACTACAGCATTTGAACTAATCAGAATTATCCTTAATATTTGTTCAGATTATGCTGTGAGATTTTAAAATGGTTCATATCTGGAAGTTTAGGATAGGAAGGGGTAATTGCAAAGAGAGGGTATGAATGTGGTGTGCCCAGTTTGTGATAGATGGAAGCCAGTTTTTTTCTTTTCAAGCTGCTTCAGCTGTGGTTCTGAGAGTTGGGCAGATCAGAACCCTCAACATCCAGATAATGATGGAGATGGGGAGAAGCATCCCACCTTAACTATTTGGAAAACATGTAGGTAGGCAGAGTCCTTAGGTGTGTGGTTTAGTGGTGAATACAGAGGTGTTAGGCTAAGGGTTGAACTTGATGATCTTAAAGGACTATGAAGGTGCCAATATCAGAATTAGTAACTTTGACTTCTTCCACTGTGAGTGGAGAGAAATACTTGGTCTGATGAATTATGCTTGAAAAGCTTGATTAGAGAAAGTCTTTATTAGAGTTGAGTATATTGAGAGTAAGTCCCGATTCTCATTTTAAATGGTGCCGAACTATTTTGTAATTGTTTAACAGTATACCATGCCATAGTTTACAAAACAGGAATGTGTCTCATGTGGAAAATAAAAGACTGTACCATTTCTCAACCTAACTTCTAATGTAGATATCTAAAATGAGGCTGTGGGCTAGAGCAGCTGTGCTGTAATGGAAATTACCTGCCCAGGCTCAGATCAACAGACATGAGGATGCTGTCAGGGAAAATGAGGAGCAGCACTTGAGCATTGAACCAGATTCTGCTGTTGGGTGCCCTGCCACATAGCTGAGGCATGAAGACAGATTATTTAAGTAAAAGGTTCCAGCCTGTGGGATCTCAAATGAGCAGTGTTTCTTCATCTGTCAAGATAAAATATATCTGTTTGTAGATTTTTCTGGGTGCCTTCTACCCTCAGGTCTTGTGAACTGCCAGATAGCCCTTTGTGTGTCAGATGCTCCTCCTTTCACACGTACTACTGTGGTTTGCAACTGTGTTATTCATCGCTCCCTTGGCGTGTGAGTTACAGGCAGCAAAAGAATATTGTGAGCATGATTAATTTCCAGAGCCTGTGCTCCTCATCAGGCTGGTTGCACAGCAACCTCACCTACAGACAGAGAGAAGTGTTCACTCTCTGCTTGTTTTAAATCCTTTAAACTCTAAATATTCAGCTTGGAGAAGCAGGTTGTTGTTGTTGTGGTTGTAAATGACAGCAGTCCTCTCCCTGTGCTCACTTTAGTTGCATTAGAGACTGGAGTTGGCCCTGCAGGTCCTGCTCACTGAGTTGGAGGCAGGAGTTCACAAAAGCCTGACAGTCAGCTCTGCTGCTGCTCTTTGCTGTCTCCCAGGTGGGAACAACAAACCAAGTTCAAGACAAGTCATTGTGGTAAGACAGAGCAATGCAGGGAGTGGCTCCAGACCACCGCTGGCTCACAGCTCTTGTTAAGGAGCAGACCAGTGCTTGTCTGTGCCTTGTGAGCCTGGTCACTGTGCAAGAAGGTGCAGCTGGAGTTAGGGAGATGTAACAGTTAAGTTTGCATTTTATCTGTCTTTAACTTCCTTTAAACAACAGGCTTTGTCGTGGGCACTTCCTTTCAGCACCCTGCTGCTTAATGCCTTGGTAAAATAAAGCATGAAGCTGACAGGGTGTGGTAAATCTATTGATGCCTTCTTTTAGGATGAGAAGAAATTACCATGTAGTACAAGTAGGGGGATTTTTTTCCCCTCCAAATATGCACAACCTTTTTCTTTCCTGGCTTGTGTGTTTCTGTGCTCTTGTATGACAAAGATTACTAATAGCAGGCAAATAGCCTTACTACTGCTTTTTAGATACACAGTGCAAGTTATCTGTAACTGTCCTTAAATCATGATATTGCATGTAAGACTTGAGAGAGATCTTAATCTTAAGAAAAGGCAGGTTGGTTACTGACCCAGGGTTATATACACTCCTTTTAATGAGCCCTGAAAAGAGATATTTAGCTTGTTTTACCACTTCTCATCAATTTGCAGCCAGCAAAGCTCAGTTCAGATTTAAGACCATCTCAGGGAAACAGCTGTTGCTGTAGATGGTGCACTGCTGTCTGCAGGGGTGGAGAAACACTGCTGGGTGCTCACAAAAAACATGTTGCTTTCAGTAGTCTCAAAATCAATTTTCAGTTTTTTCCAGGATATATTTATTCTTTCAAGAAACTATCTTAATGTTCCTGTGAAAAAGATGGGCTGGATGTATTTGGGGTGAAGAGGAATTTCTGTGAAAGCCTTTCATAGGGAATTATTAGGTATAAATGTTTCTGATGCAAGGAAAGATTCTCTGAACTGCTGAATGAACTTTGCCCGCCATTTCTTCTGTCAGTGATTAAATTGGTTCATTAGCTTGTTTTTCAAGAATGATAGAATTAATCTAAACCCACAGATTCTTCCTCGTGCTGCCTTGGAGCTAACAAGACACCCCCATTAGCAAAAGTAAAAGATTGCTTATCATGAGAGTTAGTGACAGCCTTTTGAGGAGGACCAGAGATGGGAAATGACAGCAGAGCTTGCCCCATGGGCTTTCTGCACTGATGGTGCCAATATTAGTGCAGAGGTGTTGCAACTCAACCACGCAGATCTGGGCTTGCTCATCCTTCCAGAGCAAATAAGAAACCACTCAGGTCTGTGTCCCCCCACTTTGTAGTTTCTTTTGTAGCTGTCTAGTTTCAGCACTGTTGTTTCTGTGCTTTGGCTTCTTCAAACGTGCTCTGTGAGAGCTGAACCCTGTGGACCTGCCCTGAGACAGACACCTGTGACAGTCTGTGTGCAACCACACGCTCCCTGCTGGGGTGCTGGCCCAGCTCCAGTTTGCAAGTCATAACCACTGTTTTCACCTCTGCTGGGACTCCCCACACCTGCACGAGGAGCTCAGTGTGGATGGTAACAGAACATTTGTGCTCTGTATCTCACAGGTTTCCATCCTTTGCAGTTCCACAGTGTGTCAGTGCCTGTGGGATAGCTCAGGTGCCGTGGGTGGGAGAGGCAGTCTCCATGTTACTCTCTGCCGACGCTTCCAAAGCTTCTTTGTGTGTTAGGAACCAGATGGCTGTAGTGTAAATAATTGAATGTATTTGCTGTTTGTATCAAGATAGGCAAGATCTTTTAAAGCAAGAAGATCCTTCAGAAATGAAGGAAAAGAGGAGAAAGCAAAATGGATGTTTAGTAGCTACAGAGTCTTGAGGTTTGTTTACCAATTTCAGTTGATCTTTATTATAAACACAGTAAAACTCTTCAGCCCTGCTTATATTACTGCAACTTTTTCCTTTCCTGTTTGATAGAACTGATTTCTTCCAGATGTAATACTAGTTTTGCAAATTTTTACTAGCATCCGTGGTCATATTTCCTTATAATTTCTTACAATGTTTTGTTTTATTAGAATAGTTGGTACTTTCTTGGGCCAGAGAAGATGGCCCTGTGCTGGGGGTTGTATCTTGAAGTGACTCAAGGAACACAAACTATTTCTTCCTCCCCCACATGTCTGTTACTTCTAATATGTCTTGTTAGTCTCTGCTTTCATTTTTCAGTTGTAAAGCAGTTATGCTGTTGTGCACACTAACACAGCAGTTTGGAACACAGATGTGTTAAAGATGAGGTAGAATCTAGTGTGGAATACTAGTAATGGCTATATTAAAAATGCCTTGAAGTTATTCTTTATTTATTTATGTCTGTACAACATCTTTGAGCTTTCATGAGCTCCACTAGCATTTTGCAGACCCTGCTCTCTCTTTTTTGGGTCCCTTCTGAGACCAAGAACGGCAATTTTTGTAGACTGCTGGATGGTACAGCATTGCTGAGGTGTTTTTCTGTGGAAAGAAAAATCCTTGTTTGGGTGGTTTGGGTTTTTTTGCTTGTTTGGTTTTGTTTTGTGTTTGGGCCTTTTTGTGGTTTTTGATTGGATCTCTCCCCCGTTTCTTGTTCATTCTCTCTGGGGATCTTGGTGGATCGTGGGGATTAGCCAGAACTTCTGTGGCCTCACCTGAAAGCACTTGGCACAGATCTACATTTAGTTTATTTGAGCTCTGTCTCATCTTCTGTTAAAAAAAAATCAAAGTAAATTAGTATATCATAGCTTGCTATGATATAAAACTCTATAAGGTAAAGGATGATAGAATATTTTAAAACCAGGTAGTTTCAATTTTTGCATCTTTTTATCTAAAGACCAAGACTACAATAATCTAAATATGTGGGTTTTTTTATTTTTTTCCTCTTTTTTGCTTTGTTTTAATTCTGTGGTTTGTTTTAATTCATCTGTGCTTCCTTTGCAGGGTAAGATTTGGTTAATAGATTTTAACCCATTTGGTGAAGTAACAGACTCCCTGCTCTTTACATGGGAAGAACTCACCTCTGGAAAAAACTTGAAAGGAGACCAGAGTGAAGGGGAAGCAACAGAACAGGTGAGGGAGGCTAAATAGCATCCAACAGGATTTATGGCCTAATTTTTTTTCTTTTTTTGCTGTTACAATCAAATTTTGATGCAAATCGCATTGAAGTAAATTAAGCTCCTGTGAAATGTAAACGCTTTGTAAGTAGAATCTACCTTAGTAGTTAATCTCAACAAGTATTACCTGATGGCTTCAGATGCCTACAAAGGAATTTTCAGTTCAAACAGTACAAGTCCATATTACAGCTTTCACCCCATTGCAAAGAAGATGCCCTGGAACTTGCTTTTACACAGTTTTGATGCATTCCTTTCAGTTTTTCTTGAAATCTATTACTTGTCTATATAATCACATAAATTTCTGCTTGGCTCTTGATATCTATCATGTTGTTTCCCATATCTCCAGTTTAATGCTTGGGGGGAGACAAACAGAAGCTTAACTTCTGTCTCTTCCTCATTTGGAATACCCTTAGCAAAGCCTTGTCCTCTGGTTGAACTCCCAGGACTTGCAGAACAAGGCTTTTCCATCCCTCTTCCAAGCAGCATTTCCTCTGTAAAAAGAAGTAACTTCCTGTTAATACAGAAAGGGAGGAATAGTCTTCATTTTTTGTATTCCAGCTTTTTTTTTCTTACTGCATCTTGAGACAGAGTCCTCATATCTTGAACAGCTGGGTAGGAGATAGAAAGTGGTGTGTTAGTGGATCTTGGGAAACACTTGATTGTTTTCTGAGGTGAGATGGCTGGCCAGTGTGGGCTTTTCTTTATTTCCTAGCTGTTGAACTGCATTAGAGGCCACTGAAGTGAAAAACTTCATTGAGCTGATTTTAACATCTGAGTTTCTTTAGTCCTGTGGCCCTTTCCATAACACATTTACAGGGAAACCCCACTCCAGGCTATTATTGCCTCTGTCTCACTGTGGGGTTGTTGCTGTATGAAAACCCATTCCATGAACCCTCCTGCTAAAAGCTGTCTCCTTTGTTAAAACACACTCCAAATTCTAGAACTGTCTGTGGGACATGTGAATTTTTGTTTTGGGATTTCTCTTTCTCATTGCCAGATGCTTTACACAGTTTTCTGTAGTGCAATCCTGGATGAAAAGTAGAATAACTTGTCTTCATGTTTCATCTTACATCCAGTCACAGAATCTGGTGTGAAGTTGCTGATCTCTCTTAAAATGGAGCTGTTTATTGCTATACAGCTGGCAATTGCATGGCACGTCAATATGTTCAACTGAAAATTTTATCATCCCTCAAAACCTGTTGTTACAATTGAGCATTTAGAGATGTTTTTGGCCTTATTATAAAGGTATCTTTTCCTTCAGTAAGTGAATTGGTTGGAAAGCTTAAATTATAATTTCAGTAAGGTTATAGCTGCAAATGTGTTTAAACAAGGAACTATGAAGGCAAGTTTAGGTATTCTATCAAAAAGATTTTTCTCTATCCAGATATGTATCTAGATACTACTGCCCAAAGTTCCTTGTAGCTCCATTATTGCAGCACTATCATAAGCATGAATTTATTAGACACATTAAGAACTGATACACTGTGGAAATTTTAAAGTGAGGTAATGAAAGCCATTATTTGACTGTTTAACATGTTTGACATTTTAAATTGCTCCTAAGTGGGCAGAGGTTTTATAAGAAAGCTACAATTTTTAGAAAGCGCAAGTTTAGTTGAGTGGGTGCCAAATAAACTCATTGGCAATGTGACTCAGTCTCACGGAGGAGTCCCAGAAACATTTCTGACTTTATTCATGTCCACTGTTCTTGTCTAATCTTGTCTTTTCCAAAGGATTATCCAGTGTTCCGTTGTACAAACAGCAAAGTCACCGTCCAGCCCAGTCCCTACCTGAGCTACCGACTGCCCAAGGACTTTGTGGACCTTTCCACGGGAGAGGATGTTCACAAACTGATTGACTTTCTTAAACTGGTAAGAAGTAGCAGAAAAAAATCTGACATTCCACCTCTGTCAAATGGAAACACCAAAGTCCCTGGATCTCTGCTTTTGTTACTAAGAAAGAATACATAGTTACAGAAAAAGCAGAGTATGAAGGGTGCACACAGTGTATTGTTGGGTTAATTGTTTCTGAAGTGGTAAAGAACAAGCTTTTTACTGCTCCTACTTCTCTTAATTAATTTTATTTTATGGGAAGCAATGAATGTCGTTTGACAAATCTTACTGAAGGACTGAGCTGTTTTCTTTCTTACTGAAATGTAAATATGACTGTAGTATGAATGGAAATGTGCTTTTTGAATGCCTGGAGCTAATGCTTTTAACTTTTCATGTTTTTAACTTTTTTCTTTAAAAGTTACAAGACAAATATATTAGAAAAATCCATGAAAGAGTTGTTCCTTTTTCAATCCTCTTTGTTCTTTTAATGCACAGTGACATGAAAACATGACATCTTTGTAAGGTAGGGAAGGGAAGGCAGCTTACCTGTATCTGGATCCCTGACACTTGCCATCACCATGATGTTTTCTGGTTCTTATATATTCCATGAGTTAATGGACAAGGCAAATCTTGTTCTTTACTGGAAATAAAATCCTATAGTTTGGGATGAGAGAAGGGGTTGATAGTGCTGTGTTCCATTTGCTGGAAAAATCTCTTATTGTTCCAAAAAATGACTTAGAAATGCAGCCACTGTCTAATCCATTGTATTTGGAACACTTGTCATGATTTATTATTGCTCTTACTTCAGATAACTGTGTCCTAACATTATGAACTCTCCTGTTCTGTTGACAGAAAAGAAATCAGCAAGATGACGACTGAGGTACCCAGAAGCATTACATTGAATTACGAGCAAGAAATGTGGCAAAAGCTGTATTTAGCATAACTATCAAACTATTGATTTAAGGAAAATCTGCTTTTTATAGTCAATGAAAGAATTGAAGAGCTGTTCATCCTCTCTTGGTTTATAAAAATGTGTAGGGAAGCTTCTTCAGGGAAACATGAAAGGTCAGGGTGAGTTCTCATTGGATTCCAGGTGCAAAGAAGCAACAGCCTGAGTGCAGCTGAACGACTGCTTTCCATTTCTCATAATGTGAAGATTGATGCCACTGAGCTACGCCTTCAGACTCCCCGGTGTAAATATGGCAACACGTAACGCTTGTGCAGTGAAAACATGGAGCATTCTCTGAATTTAGGCACAGTCTTGCTTAATATGTAGTCACAAAGAGAAAGGAATGTACATTTTTATCTGGAGTAGCCTTTTAAAATTGTAAATTGGTTTTGTTTGGGAGCACTTCTCATCCTTTATGTAAAAAAATAAAATAAAAAATGGAGAAAGGATTAATAGATTTTTTTTTTTGTTCCAAGGGCTGATACTTCATTTCAGAGAACAGCTATAGCTATAGTAGACTACTTAAGGTTTGAAAATTTTTCATATAGGGAATTACAATTCTGAATGCATTTGAAATAAAGTAGTATTTTCACAGTCACTAAAGCAACAAAACTAATTTAACTTCACCAAATTTAATTTCATTTTCATAGTAAAGCTTTCTCGAAACCTGTTTTTTAACGTGATTCCATACTAGACATCATCTGTGACTTTAATATAGATAATTAACATCAACCTATAATTTATGTGCAGACTCAGTCTTGTTTCTCTTGTCACATCTCTGATTCTTACAAAATCAATTATTCTTTCAGCTCTTAAAATTCTGTATTCATTTGGTACTTCATGCTTTTTGTATAAAGGGAAACTTGGCTAAATCTGGGGAAACAGAAGCTCTTGTTACCAATTGGTGTTTGGGAGGTGGGGGAGGACAGTGTTAGTTGAATCATCAGCTGACTTTTGGATATAGGTGTTTGTGTGGCATCAGTAATTTATTAACAGTGTGCAGAGTTCCCATTGAAACAAAAAGACATTTGAAGGAGTTCATAACCTCTGGAAATTGCTTCCTATTTCAAAGCAGTTATGTGATATTTTGTGTGTGTGTGTATAAAGCTGTTTGTGTTTGTCTTGCTTTTGCTGTCAGATTGGAATGGTGCTTGGTTACAATCTGTTATTGGATGTTAAATCTGAGCTAAGTTGTTAAATTATTACTTACTGTCTTTATTTAGCTTCACTTTTGAATGAAAATTTACTCGAGTTAAAGATTATGCAGATTGAGAATCCACACATTGTTGAAACATCACAGAAGAAAGCTCCTGGAGTCAGAACGGGTTTGCCCTGTGTTTGAAGCTTTGGAACCTGGTACTCAGTAGATTTTTGTATTCAAATTAGATGGTCATTAACTCAGAGCTGGGCTATACCTAATCCTGCCATACTGCATGATTTTGGGTGAGTGTTTCTTACCCTCATCAGGGGGATAATTTGAGTATAAATGTCTCTCAATCGGGTAGGAACCTCAAAGTGTAAAAAATTAAAACAAAGAGAAAAGCTTTGTTAAAGTTTCTAGCTATAACTTAAACTGCTGTGATGATCTAACCACACTTCCTTTACACAGATGATGCCCTGGAATTTCCAATAGATTCATAAATCTATTTTTTTGAATAGAGTATTGGCTTTAAAAACACAAAGTCTTAGTTTAGGGCTGGAGGATAGTTTCCCACTTCTTCCACAAATTAATTTTCCACTTTCTCAGCTGTCTTTGCTGAATGTTCACCAGAATATTGAGCCCAGTTTGCTGGGACCCTGTGCACTCTGGAGTGTCCTTTTAGGTGGGTAGGCTGGAGTTTTTCTTTTCTGAAATGTGAAATGCTGGCAGATGCCCAGTCTGAATTCACGTGCTGCTCAGCCAAGCTACCCAACACTGATCATGAACTGCAGTTTAGAGTTGTAGGAACTTGTCCTGCTTCCTTTGGGCTGAGTCATAGTGAAGAGCCATAAAAAGTAGCAGAGCAAAAACAGTGGTCCCATGTTCAGAACTGGTACAGAAAAAGTCCCCAGTATAAAAATATGATCTACAGGATCAGGTCCCCTAAAATACCATATCCTTACAGTTTGAATACGTACTTTAGGTGTACTTTGCATTTTTCCCCACTTCAGGTAACCAGACTGAATTTTATTTGGCTGTTAAATTAAAGATTCCACTTCTAAAAGAATTTTCATTTTGTATGTACTTTTGATCTTCTAGGAAAATTAACAAACATATTCCCTTTGGGGAGTTGAGGGAGCTAATGTTGATAGATTAAAAATGTTTCAGATCAATTTTACACTGAATAGTACATGACACTTTTCCACCAAAAAAACAGTTTCTGCCTCTAGCCCTTATATACAGAAATTTGAAAATAGAGATTTCCAGTTGTTCAGGTCCTTTTTCACAGGATTCAATTATCACCATTTGCTGAGTAAGGGCCAACTGTATACTATATATTCTTAATTATATGCTTAAAACACAGTGTAAAGATGCTTGCAGTCTCATCTAGATGACAAACAGAAGTTTTAGAGGGAGGTAGCACGCAGTCATTTTATACAGATGCTGTGCCTGCCAAGCCCTGCAGAAGTCTGGCTGTGTCTGATGGCTCCAGCAGTGAGAATCAGTTCGTGGGCTGCAGCTCTGCCAGGAGTGCCAAGGAAAAGTCCTCATTGTTTCACAGTCAATACTTGGGCTGTTTAGTCTCCCAGATGGATCGTGGGGATCAGGATTCCTGTGACCTCAAAAGTAGCAGTTGTTAACATGTCCTGACTTAGTTCAGCATTTGGAGTAACATTCCTGTCCTTCTGGGCTTCTGTGCTGTTTGTTCCCTTTTGCCTCTTCTTTCTCCAGTGTTGTCCATGTCTTTCCTCATCCCTCAGTCTCTTATTTGGATAAATATTAAGATCAGAATTGGTAGCAGCAGCAGCATGGATAATACTGACCTGAATTTTAAAACCTTTCTCTATCTGCTTTTGCAAAGGCCTGTTTTTGAGTAGTGCTCTATAATACCTAAACTCCCCCCTAAACTCCAGAAGTAGGGGAGTAATATCCAGGTCCGAGTCTCAGTAAAATCAATTGCACTTGCTAGATGCTGATCACAGATCGTAAAACTCCACATAACTGCATCTGACACCCTTAGGTAGAAATCTCATTGTTATATACTCACCTGTTGCTCATGTTCAGGATGCAGAGAAAAGGTGCCCTGTGAGATGCAGTTCAGGTGCTCATTTGAGCAACAGAGACCCTTAAACACTCCTGGTTTCAGGCTTGCAGGTGAGCATTCCCAGGTGAAAGGACCCCAAAACAGATCAGTGGCAGTGTGGAGATGGGTAACAGCATGGAGCAAACCTATGTAAAAATCCTTCTGTACCTTTGTGCATGGCTGAGCTCAGCTTTCACAAACTGTTCCAAATTTGAAGTGTCAAATAGCAAAGAGAGGAGCTCAGGGTGTTTGTCAATGAGCACAAATAGGCAAATCAGCGTGGCAACTGGTAATTGATTTCAACTTAGAGGCCAAAAGTATCAATTCTGGTTGTGTTTGGACATTTTACATTTTGAAAATTAGTTCAAGAAATAATATTGGACTAAAATACATATTTTTGGCCAAGAGAAGATGGAACACAGTGTAACACAGAAACAGACCATGGTGCTTTTGATTCATGAAGGACACTTGGTAACACTGATATTTAGAGCCTTAATAAATCTACCTTAGGAAAAGCTTGTCTGGATGTTAAATTAACAGTGTCTTCTATTTGAATTTGATAACCTCTGTTAAAAGAAAATCTCCAACTTGCTATCATCCTGACGTTATCTAGAGCTAAAATAAGACTTGTTGCCATAACTGCTATATTTTGTGTAATCTTGAAGCTTTCTCAAAGATACAGAACTCTTAGGCAGTTTTGTGTGATTACAGGATTTTGTAGTAAAAATGACATTGGCACTGCAGTAAGTCTGGTTTTGGGGTTTTTGGTTCTTTCTTTTGGGGAGGGCATTTTGAGGGAGGGAAGTATCCTGCTACATTTCTTCATGTGAATTATTGCAGCAATGGGTATCCTACCTGGGTATCAATAGTGTTTTGATTGCTCTAAGATCCTCTTAACAGCTGGCCAGGCTTCTGCCAGGGATGTGTTTTGGCAGTTTGTAGGAAAAGGTTGGTTGGTCATAAACACTGACTGCCCAGGACCTTCTTTCAGGGAAGGTTTCTAGTTACAGCTGAACTTCCAGGAGAGATTTGTGGCTCCTAAGCAGCATTACTGTCCAAAAGAGAAAGGATAATCAATACTTGTTCCTAGTCTTTAGGACTCAAATCCAGCTGGTGGAGGGGCTTGAAATTTTGGGTTCTGTCTTGGCTTCTGCTATGAAGGTGTGTCCTGACAGACTGTTGCACTTCATTGAAGTAAATGAATTATTCATGGGAGCTGGGACTGTAATATCCAGGAGAGAGAATGAACATGTGAAGCTAAAACGTCTGTAACCAATATGAGGAATACATAGGAGGAGCTCAGTATCAGGATGTGTCAGAAAAGATTGATGTGCATTTCAGTGACTTTAAGAGATTAATGGCAGCACTAGATCACAGACCTGTCCGTTTCTCAGGAAAAGGCTGGAGGCACTGTGTTTGAACACCAACAGTGTATTTCCAAAACTTGGGAATCACAGAATGGTTTGGGTTGGAAAGGAGTGTTAAATGTCCTCTAGGCCTCAAACACTTCCAGGATTGGGGCAACCACAACTTCTCTGGGCACCCTCACCAGCTTCATGAAAAATTCCTTCCTTAATGTCAATCTGAACTGATCCTCTTTCAGTTTAAATCTGCTGCCCTTTGTCCTGTCCAGCCCCTGGTAAAAGCCTGTGTTTCATATAAGCCCTCTTTAAGTACTGAAAGGCTGCAATATTGTCTACCCACAGCTTTTCCCAGCTTTCCCCACCTCTCTCAGCCTGTCCTCCAACAACAGGTTTTGTAGCCATGGCATCATTTTTGTGGCCTTCCTCTGGATTTGCTCCAACAGATCCATATTTTTCCTGTATTGGGGATCCCAGAGCACTGCAGGTGGGGTCTCACCAGAGCAGAAGGTCAGAATTCCCTGCCTTGATCTGCTGCCCACAGTGCTGGGGATGCAGCCCAGGCCTTGTTTGGCTTTCTGGGCTGGAGGTGCATATGACCAGCTTGTGCTCAATTTTTCATCCACCAGTATTTCCAAACAATACTTCAGAATCTGTTGGGAAAGTGCCTAACATGGGAAGACTTGAAAAGACAGAGAGTTAATAGATTTTTTCCAGAGGACAGTTTGTATTTCAGAAGGTACAGGGTGTTGTTATTCCAGAGTTAACTGTTCTGGGTTGCAGTCAGGTTTATTTGAAGCTTA